GTTTTTGAGCATCTTTTGCCTCTGGCCAATTCTCATCATCAGATAGTGCTTGTCCTTTCGATGTTTCTGCATGTGTTCTTCATAGTTGCGGATCTTGACAGTCAAGGCAACAATTCGAGCCTCCAGGGAGTTAGTGTCCTCGGGGTTTGCCACAACCTTGTTCATCAATTGTTCTTTTTTGACTTTTAGCTTCTCCTTCTGAGTCCCCATTTCCAAAAACAAGAGTCTTTTGATGACATCATCAACATTGTCAATTCCAGGGACATCTGGTAATCTTTGAGGAGAGTGGAAGGGGGTGGGTTGGGAGGAGACCCGAGGAGGGGAAGGGAGGAGCCGGGGGGTCAGAAGGAAGCTGGGCGCACCCTCCTTCTCGCAGCCCGAGGCCTGGGACCTGAGTCCGGGAGGCACTCAGTACCCTCCGCTCCGCCCTCAGCATGGTGGCGTTTGACCCCAGCGAGATATATATTTTAAAGGAAACTGGCAATATGTGCATGGGGGAAGTAGAAAGAGAGAAGTTAGGAAGACTTTGAAGTTTTCTTTTCAATCTTCACATGTCAAATATGAAATTGCCATTAACTGAGTTGAGGAAAACTGTGAGAGGAGCAAGTTTATAGTGGATTAGAAATTTGCTTTTAGAAACTGTTAATATTAATATTCCTATTAGATATTCACATGAATATAGTTATCAAGAAGGCAATGGGATAGATGAATTAAGAGATTTAGAGTGGAGATATATTTCAGATTTATCAGCAAACACTGATATTTAAAATCTAGGTTGTACCCAAATTCAGATCCTGCTAACTCTCATAGTATTGCATACTGCCTATAACCTGAATAATAATGTCATAATATTATTTTTTTCATCCATTTGAGCATGAGTCCTGTTCATGGCTTTATGTGGTGTGTGTGTGTGTGTGTGTGTGTGTGTGTGTGTGTGTGTGTTATTGATTTCAGAGAGGAAAAGAGAGGGAGAGATAGAAACCAGTGATGAGAGAGAATAATTGATTAGCTGCCTCCTACACGGGTTCCACAACCGGGACATATGTCCTGACTGGGAATCGAACCATGACCTCCTGGTTCATAGGTCAATGCTCAACAATTGAGCAAATTGGGCTGGCTACATGGTGCTATTTTAACCCAAACAGATAGCTATCTGTATTTTCATTATCAGTGCAATATCTCAGATATTGAAATTCTGATCCAAGATTTTGGGATTCTCTATGAAAAAATAAAACCTGGCAATTTTCAATGCTGCACATTTTGCTCTTTCTGCAATCTAAAAGTGTTCATACACGAGCTGGTTTCCTCTCAAGTGTGGCCTGAAGAGCACCCATTGTGTGCTTGGTGGCCTGTTAAACTCTTCCTCTTCCTCTACACAGTGGGATTCCTGTTACCCTGACAAGCTCAGGGAAGGCCTGCGTGGCAGTCTTGCAAACCCAGAGACCTAAGATCACCACAAAAGATAGTTTGAAAATTAAATATCTAACAGGTTATAGTAGGTAGTCATGTCCCAGATATTTCACCTGACAAAGATCAACTTTGATCTTTTACTGAGCCCCTCTGCCTTCCTGCATCTGAGATAACATATCTGTGAGATGTCTGGGTAACTTGTAACTTCTTTTTTACCCCGGTCCCCTCAGGGCACAACAAATGGCCTGGAGACACTCCCTCATTGTTATTGTTATCAAGCTAATTGTCAACTGTTAATTACGTTAGAGTATCCTGCATCCATCTCTGTAAAAGAAGCTCATGTCCATCATCTAACCTTTTACCCTATCCCAGAGGTTTCCCTGCTTGGCTTTGTCCCACCTCCCTAATCTATCACCGATGAATTTCATGTAACTAACTACGTCCCTTTCCTTTGATTGCAATGTATAAATATAGAAATGTAATCTGCCATTCTCCGGAGCATTATCTCAATCCATTGAGGTTCTGCTTCCCAGCATATGTCGACAGTAAGGCTCAAATAAACTCACAAAAAAATTCTTTACAGGTTTCAATGTTGTTGTTTTTTTCGTTAACACCCTGATCAGAGTAGATGCACACCTCCACACGCCCATGTACATCCTCCTTAGCATCCTGTCTCTACTGGATCTCAGCTTTGCCCTCCACCACCGTGCCCCAGAAGTTGGTCCATTCTGTAAGCAAGAATAAAACCATCCCCTGTGTTGGGTGTGTGGTCCAGATGATGTTTTCCTGACCTTGCACATCACTAAGACCTGGATTTTTGCAGCTGTGGCCTATGATAGATATGTTGCTATATAGTATCCACTTCACTGTAGGGCTAAGAGGAACCATCTCCTGCGTGTTCTTCTGGCAGTCATTGTCTCACCTGTGTCCTTTTCTACAGTCTTTGCAATGACTCTGCCACCACTGCAGTCCCAACATCAAAGTGGGAAATATTTCAGGTAATTAAGAAAAACCCACCCAAGAGTGGAAACTCGGCTCCTCTGAGAAAAATATTGGATTTTGGTAGAGAGGTGGAGGGAACATGAAATCAAGTAAAAAGATTTGGGATATGCTTTCATTTTAGGAAACAGGATTTCAGACACAAATTCCTAAGGAGATGAATAGTGCCCTCTTGTGGACATTCTGAGAACAGCACCCTAGTAAGAAATAAGTTGCAATAATGCCCTCTAGTGCATATTATGAGAACAGCACCCTCTTATTAAATTCAGCAAGTCTGAAAACTGTTGAGAGACCTAGAGGGCAATTGCTTGGGGGGCTTTCCCAGGCCACTGGTGCAGGCATCACTGATTAACGACTGGGCAGAGTGACAGGTGCTCTGTATAAGGTGGTGGGAGGAGCAGTGAGACCCACAGGAAGGAGCTGAGCTCTGCCTGGCTGGGAGAAAGACGGGGTGGAAGTTCCTGCAGGAGGGGGCTTTCTGGGCCTGGAAGGATGTGTAGAAGCTCCCGGGTAGAGAAGGCAGAAGGTGGAGAGATGAACGTGAGTGAGACAGCCTGAGCGTGTCTGGGGACCAAGGAGCGGCTCCATGAAGCTGGGTGTTTGGGGGGAGGGGCCAGGCGAGAGGCTGCACAGGGGCACTGGGCCCAGATGGCAAAGGGCTCAGAGAGTGTTGCCTGGGGGTTAAACTGGCTCCGTGGGTGGGAGTGTCTATGCCTGTCTGCATGGCAGCATCTCCCGAGGGACTTTATAAACACAGGTTCTGTGGCTCCACCAGCAATATTCTGAGTAGTAGGTCTCAGGTGGGACCAGGAATCTATACTGTTTAAAGCTCCCCAGGAAATTCGGATGCCCACCAGGTATGGGAACCCCGGCACGGGGAGAGGCTGTCTCTAAACAGAGAAAGAATCCCGGACTTCCAGGATCTGAGCAAGAGCTTGAGAAGGTGAGGAGGGCATGTGAGAGTCCCCTGACTCTGATCCCCACCTCCCACCCTCTCCAGGGGAGTCCCACGCTCAAAATGCCACATTCACTGCCAGAAAGTTTCTTATAAAATGACATATTTACATTACAACCAGCAATTGAAGACATAGGACAGCACAGTCCGCCAGAGGTTTGTAAGGGGAAGCTCAGGCAGGACAGCTCCCTTTGTGGTGCCCACGGTTGGCAACAACACTCACGCTCACAGGTGAGTGGATAGTCACACAATGGGCACCGCGCACAGTGAAAGGAATGAGCTGTGGATGCAACAGGACGGACGGGGAGCGAGCTGGATGAAAGAAGCCAGAGCAAAAAATAAACAAAGGGAAGCGTTCGTAATGTGCAGGGCTCCATTTCTGTGACGTTCTAGGAAACGCAAACTAATCTGCGGTGCCAGGAGCAGAGCCATGGCTGCGTGGGGTGGAGGGCGGGGGAGATAAGAGGGAGGGGCTGATGGAGGGGAATAAGCGACTTCTGGGGGTGAGAGATACGCGCCTTATCTTGGCGGTGGTGTTGGCTTCCAGTGTGTATACATGTGTCAAAGCGTCCAGTAGCATCATTTAAACGTGTGCTGTTTACCGTGTGTCCATCACCCCCCAATGAGCTGCTCACAGCCCTGGTGCCAGCTCTGCGCAGCCGCGCCGGTGTGGTCCTCACCCAGCACCTCGCCATGTCCTCCTGCGAATGCCAGGGCCCCTTGGAGGGATTTTCATTTAACCTCACCAGGCCGTGTGAGGCGGGGCTGTTGTTATTGTCTGTTTTACTTTCGAGGAAACTGAAGCTCAGAGAGGCTAAGTCACTTTTCCCCAGGAAATGTCACCTGACTGAGCCCCAGCCACAGCGTTCACCCCTCAAGCAAATGCTGGTCGGATCTGTTCTTATGATTATACAAACATTGCCATATTTGTGGAAAACAAAACTTCAATAGCTTTCAATCCATCTCTGTACATCCTGAAAGTCCTAACACATCTAATGATTTTTATTTTCCATACTTTTTTTTAAAATCCATATGAAGGGAGTATTTTTATCGCTGTAATAAAAAATGTACATAAAAATGTGTGCCCCTCCCCCCACCTTACATCTTCACATGTGCCTTACTGTCTTCTCTGTAAAAAACAAACAAACAAAAAAAGAACAGCTTTCAGATAGGTGGTTTTTCTGTTTCCAGGCAAAGTCCTGAAAAGTGGGAGCAGGGCACAAAGTGTGATTTTTTTTCCCTCCTTATCCTGATTTTTAAAAAATAAAATAAAAATACAATTCACTGTCTGATGAAAGCAAACACCTTCCTGGAACTCTTATCTGGACCCTGGAGTCCTGGGGTATTTGTCAATTTTTACCACCAAGCATCCCTTTTCCCCATGGCTCTAGGGAGTAGCTCATTCCTCAACACCAAGGATATGTTCTGGCGGAATAAAGGAAGGAAGGAAGGAAGGAAGGAAGGAAGGAAGGAAGGAAGGAAGGAAGGAAGGAAGGAAGGAAGGAAGGAAGGAAGGAAGGAAGGAAGGAAGGGAGGAAGGAAGGAAGGAAGGAAGGGTTAGTTCTGATAGTTCTTTTAAAATTTTTTTACTTGGGCCTCGCCGGCCTCGGAGGGGGGGAGGGGGCATGGTTCCATCATGGCGTCAATGCAGAAACGATTGCAGAAAGAACTGTTGGCTTTGCAAAATGACCCACCTCCTGGGATGACTTTAAATGAAAAGAGTGTTCAAAATTCAATTACACAGTGGATTGTAGACATGGAAGGTGCTCCAGGTACCTTATATGAAGGGGAAAAATTTCAGCTTCTATTTAAGTTTAGTAGTCGATATCCTTTTGACTCTCCTCAGAGACGACCACCAGATAATTCTTTTTATGTTCGAACATGTAACAAGAATCCAAAGAAAACAAAATGGTGGTATCATGATGATACTTGTTGATGCCACTATTATCATCCTCCTAGCAGAAGATAGTCCTACTGAGAAAATGAGCACTTTGATCATTCAGTCTTTGAACTTTAACCTTTGACTGGAAGTGACCTATAGGCAATGAAGACTACTTCCTTTTACTGCATTTTTACTCGTGTGCATTCTGGGCGCATGTTGATCGCTGGTTCAGTCCAGGCAACTGACATGCTTTTATTAGTCATACAGTATTAATGCAGGTGTCAGGAAATGTCAAATATAATTCCATTTTTTATTTTTATTTTTTTAAGCTTTTGGAAAAGTTCCAGGTCCTCATGTATTGTGCAATAACAATGACTTCCTTGACGGTTTTGGGACGTTCATTGCCGGCAATGGACGTCATAACAGGAAAAATCTTCATTAGCTCCTGCCACCCAGTGATTAATGCATGATAGGGCCTATGAAATTAACGTTAACGGTTCTAAATAAAGTGAGGGATCCAACATTACTTTGAAAGTCACCCCAACTTGTTTCTATTTGGATTCTATGCACTGTGATCCTAAGGTTAACAGCATGAATTAACATGCATCTTCAAAGGACTGTAATGAAAGATCATTGCGTATTTATTGAATTGTTTATATCTACTGTCAAGTTGTTTTGACATGGAAGGTTTCAAGTAACATTGGCAGAGAGGTACAATATGTTATCCCTATGGTGAAAATAAATTCATTTGTTGTATATAGTTCCTTATCTTTGAAGTAAAGGGTATGAGTAATAATAGGGTATGAATGGTTTAATCAAGGCTTTATTTTGGAAGATAAATGGCAGTGATGATTAAATTACTGCAGTCCGTAATGTGGGCTTGTTTGTACATTAATGATTTTTCCAAGTAGAGTACACTCTGTTACTTCCTGCTAGCCATCAGCATGAGCCCTACTCCCTAAACACTATTTCATTTATTTGTTTGGAAAACCCCAAAACATTTTTTGTTTGCCATTTTGTTTCTTTTGTTATGTTTCAAGTCAAGTTTGAATGTTACAATATTTTAATTGAAAAACTTTTGTCAATTTTTTTCTTGTAAATTTTCTTTACTTGTAACTATCATCTTGTCCTTCAATCCTGTACCCTAAAATAAGAAATACATTTTTGACAGAGAAAAAAAAAAAAAAAAATAAAAATAAAAAAAAATAAAAAAAATAAAATTTTTTTACTTATCCATTTTAGAGAGAGAAACATCAGTTTGTTGTTCCACTTACGCTTTCATTCACTAGCTGCTTCTTGGATGTGCCCTGACCAGGATGGAACCCATATCCTTGGCACATTAGGATGATGCTCTAATCAATTGAGCCACCCGGCCAGGGCACAGCCTCTTCTGTTGAAAAGCCTGTCCTCTCCTATTGAATTAACGTGGCCCCTTTATATAAATTAATTGATTCCATAGGTGTGGGTCTATTTCTAGACTCTTTCATATTCTCCTGATTTATGTCTATCCTTACACCAATACTCAAGGATTTCAGTTTTATATTAAATCGTGACATCAGGTAGTGTAATCCTCAAACTTTGTTCTTCCTTCACGAAATTGTTTCCGTTATTTTAGGAGCTTGGCATTTTCACGTAAATCTTGGAATAAGCTTGTTAAATTCTGCAAAAACATTCTGCATGGGTCTTGATTGAGGTTTTATTGAACCTACAAATCAATTTGAGAAGTGACATCTTAATAGTATAAAGTCTTCCCATCCATGAACATGGTATACCTTTCTATTTTAAAAATTCTCTCAATAATGTTTCTTTTCCAGTGTACAGATTACCTTGGTTTTTAAAATATATTCACAAGTTATTTGTTGCACCTTCCTTGTACAGGTAGAGACTAATTCCCCTCCTGCTGAGAATGGGCTGGACTTAGTTCCTTGACTCGCTGTAGCAGGTAGAATAAAGCAAATTGACTGTGTGGGACCTCAGAGACTGGGTCGTAGTCAGCACTGTGGCTTTCTCTCCTGGCTCATTCCCTGTGGGAGAAGCCAGCTGCCACACTAGGAGCAGTCCTATGGAAAGTCCCATGTGATGAAGAACTGAGGCCTCCTGCTAACAGCCGCAGCAAGCCTTCAGATGACTGTAGCCATGGCTAGCATCTGGGTTCCAACCTCATGAGAGACCTTGAGCCAGAAGCACCCAGCCAGGCTGCTCATGAATTCCTGGTCCATAGTGAATGTTTGTTGCTTTAAACCACTAAGTGTGGGATAATTTGTTACGCAGCAATAGATAACTAGTACACGCATCTTGCATCTATTTTGTTGAATGTATCCCTAAGTATGTAATGTTTCTTTGATGAGGTTTTGAAAAATGTTTTTGGAATTTCCGTGTCCAATTGTTTATTTGCAATATATAGAAATATAATTGGATTCAGAATATTGGCTGTATCCTGGGACCCACTCAGTCTGATGGCCAGAGAAACGTGCACTGCAGTCCAATGGAGGAAGGCAGGGCCAAGGAGAAAGTGGCAACTGTGACCCAGACAAGGCTGTGGGTGGCAGGGGTCCCATCACTCAGAGTCAGGCTTTAGGGCTTAGTGACTGAGGGCCTCAGGGTCTCAGTCCAGTGGGAGTGGAAGGTGGCATGCCTGCTGGGACCAAGTACCGCTTGGCAGGGGAAACACTAACGTGGGAAAATATATTCATATTTTGCCTCTCTATGAACTTGAGCTCTCCAGCCCAGAGATTTCTCACCTGCTAGATGCCTGGATTGGAGTGCATGATTTCTCTGGGCCTTTCAGCTCTGACTGTAAATGAGTAGAGAAGAGGGTGAGAGGACTTTGAAGGGAGGAGGGAGAAATGAGAGACACAGAGGCAGGGGCCTGGCTGAGTTGGAGCCAGACCAATAAACCTGGATCGGTTTTCTCTGTCTGCTGTAGAAAATTGCCACACCCTGGGTAGCTTAAAACAACAGAAATCGTGTCCTCTCAGGGTTTTGTAGTTTGGAATTCTGAAAGCATTGTGGGGAAGAATCTTTTCCTTGCCTCTTCCAGTTTCTGGTGGCTGCAGGTGTTCCTGGCTTGTGGCTACTAGTCAGTCCAATCTCTGACTCCATCTTCACACATATGCATGTCTTTTCCACCTATACATGTCTCCTCTCTCTGTCTGTCTCTCTGCATCTCTCTTATAAGAACACTGTGCTCTGGTTGCTCAGTTGGCTGAGTGTTGTCCTGTGCACTGAAGGATCCCCAGTTTGATTATCATCGGTCAGGGCACATAGCCAGATTTCAGGATAGATCCCCCTTTAGGACAAGTGCAGGAGGCAATCCCTAGATGTTTCTCTCTCATGTTGATCTCTCTCTCTCTTTCTCTCCGTCTCCCTTCCTCTCTCTCAAAGATCAATTTTTTTAAAAAGAAAAAGATTGGACCTCAAAGGGAGGGTGGGGATAAAAGGGAGAGATCAACCAAAGGACTTATGTGCACACATCTGAGCCTAACAAATGGTCAAGGACAATAGGGGGGTGGGGACATGAGTAGGGGTGGGGTGCGGGATTGGAATGGGGGTTGAGGACAAATATGTGATGCCGGTACCTTAATCAAAAAAGAAATTAATTAGGAAAAAAAAGAAAGAGAAAGAGTACTTGTGCTAGCGTTTGGGCCCACCTGGACAACTCAGGATATGCTCCTCTTCTCAAGTTCCTTAACTTAATCTCATGTTTTGCCACAAAAGGTAACATTCATAGGCTCCAGGGGTTGGACATGGATATCTTTTGGGACACCCCTTTCAGTTTACCTCAGCCCCCGCCACTACCCTCCTTTCAATGGCCCCTGATCTGTGAGGGAAGGAGCAGCAGGCCAGGATTCCTCCTTGGTCCTCCTGGGAGTAGAGGGAAAACAGGAGGCTGTCAAGAGAGAGAACAATTATGTCTCGTACTTATTTAGATACTGTTTTAGCTGCCGTAACCAAATACCACAGGCCAGGTGGCTTAAACAACAGACGTGCATTTTCTCACAGTTCTGGAGGCTAGAACTCTGAGATTGAAACTGACTTTGACTATATTTAGCTTTAGATCATCAGCAACCCCTAAGGCAGCAGAAGACATTGCCTGGATCTGACTAATGATCACAAGGTACAGACCCTTGGCAGGCTAAAGATGACATGCTGACCTAAGTTATGTTTCAGCAATTGAGCCCAAGGTGGAATGACCTTCTGGCTACTTTTCCATGAGACAAGACAGAGGGACTCCAGAACAGACTGTCCTCAAGATCTGAAGAAATGATTTATTACCCTTACTCACCTCCGACCAATCAGCTAGAGACAAAACAACCCTAAAGCCTTCACCCTCGGTGACCTGGGACTTTTGCCCTATATTGCTGTGTCTAATGTGCCATCAGAGAATTTGGGCTTTTGAGCATTAGCTTCCGAACTCCTAGATGGCATCATTCTATGTAATAAAAGGCTAATATGCAAATAGACTAAATGGTAGAACTGGAACAACCAAGCAGTTAGTCACTATGACATGCTCTAACCACCAGGGGCATGTGCTGTCATCAGGGTGAGCCTCTGGTGGTTACTAAAAATACTTTGCTCTGCCGAAGCTGGTTTGACTCAGTGGAAGAGCTTCGGCCTGGGGACTGAAGGGTCCCGGGTTCAATTCCAGCCGGTCCTGATCACTCAGTGCCATCAGCATGTGAGAGCGGCCGCAGTGGGAGGGACCTTACAGGGGCATGGAGAATGACCTGAACCCGCCTCTGTGCCTACTGCATCCTCACAGCCCACATTTCCTTTCAAGGTGCACAAATTCATGCACGGGGCACCTTGTTCATAATGTAATAGCCAATATTTCTCCACTGCAATTCTTGGTGTTTGGCTCTGCTAGTTTGGCTCTTTTTTATTTTTATTTTTTTGATAACAAATTCAAGATGCTAGGGCTGTCCATTTCCAGTGAGAGTCCTTTTCTTGACTTATAGACCTGCCTTCCTGCTGTGTTTCCACATGGCCTTTCCTCTGGGTACAGGAGTCGGGGTAGCTCTCTCATGAGTTGCCTTTTAAGGACACGAATCCTGTCAGATCAGGACCCCATCTTTATGGCCTTACTTCCTTAGTGGCCCCATCTCCAAATACAGTCACGCGAGGATCAGCGCTTCCACATAT